GTTTAACCTAATCCCCCATCCTGATCATGAGTAGCTCCCTGCGTGTACACTTTATCCGCAATATACTCACTGAATAAAAGTGCTCCGCGCTACACGTCTGTTTCCTTTATAGCTGGGCTTTAGCTTAGCTGGTTCTGGGAGTCTAGCTAGATGTAGGAGGAACTGCCATAGAGATTTCTGGGTCAGTCAGGCTTTACTAAGGTAGCAATCCGCTACACACTTCAAAACTTATATTTCGCAACAATATTTCATATCATAGTAAATAACGCGCTGAGAAAAAATTTGACAAGCTGATGAACCCAAAGCATAACCGAACGATTCAAGACGTTTTAAGACAAATTGGTTTGGGCGTCACCTCAATCGCGGCAATCCACCTCAAACGCATCATTTTGTCCGTTTCTGTGCTTTGATGTTTATTTGGAGATAAAAAACACGTGCTTTAATTAATTGTCATTTGCAATAACAACCACCCCTTAAACGCACTTTTCCTTAATGTTTGCAAAGGATTCCACGTGTGCATGTCACTATTAAATAATTTTAAAAATTCCTATTTCGTATAAACAAAATGGGCCGAATTGGTCGGGCCAGGAATAAGTGTTTCAATTCTTTTCTTGCAAGCTAACTCATCACGTGCAATTTAAATGTCCGGGAGAAACGCTTAGACTAAAAAATAGCTCTTTTCACTGCATTTGAGTAATTGTTCATGTCAAATGGGGGAGAGGGGGGGTGGGTTTTGTAAAACATCTAGTTATAAAGTTTCGACGGGTGTGCGATAGACCTACCTCCACGTGGTGCACCCTGGGCAACGTATACTCATACGGCAAAAAAGTCTATTATTCGGCAGTTGACTTCTGACTTCAAACTTCCACGACCCCACTGTATGTCATATTCGACTACCTTCACAGTACTCATCCCACCTTTTTTCACCTAATCTACCTTCGTCTTTGATACACTCTTCTGCCCCCCTCTTGAATTTTTTATACTTTGATGTTCCTTCCCCTCTGTGAAGCCTGAAGTCAACTAAAGGGCTAATGATAACAATCAAAACGCCTGCCATTTGATCTAAAAAAATGATAAATTGAATGGCTTTGAAGTTTTTGCCATGAATCATTTTTACAACTACAATTATCTCTCGCAGAAGGAGTAAGTTAACTCTAATCTCTCAGATAGGAGTAGAATATTAGAGCCTTCATGAAGAAACTGTTAATACTGTTATTAGTCATTCAACAAGTGCAGTTGGCCATTTCGTTCTCATGGTTTTGACTAATAGCTTCTGATTTGTGGAGGCGCACATTAATTAGAGCACAACTAAGTTCTTGATTTGTGAACCTGAATGCACATTTCGACATCAACTCCTGGAAGTCAAGTTGTATTAGCTGAAGGTCAAACTGAAAAACTACTACAAAGGAGAGTGAAATTTCCACTTCTAGAATATTACAAGCCAATATCTCAATTAAAACTAATGAAACATGGTGAAATTTTATTCACTCTTCATTGTAACAACTGAAAAGATCATGTGACTTACTCAGAATGCAATAAAAAATCTACTAAATTGAAGGTTTATATACATTTAAGATAGCAACATAATGCAAGATAAGGCGCAGCATAGTTCGTTTCTCTTCTCTAGAATTGATTAAGGTGTAAAAAGGTTGAATAAAGTATTTTAAAAACTAGGGTTTACATGTTTTTCCCGTTAAAATATAAAGTTAAATGGCTTATAAGTTGATTATTTAGGTAAATAACTATTCACAACGAATCAACAAACTAGTATTCAAATGGGAAAAGATAAGCATTTATTGGTAGCGATTTCGTTTCTATTTTGAGTAAATTCATTTATTTCACATTTCTTCGAGTAGAAGGAACACAATTTGATCAAGAGCAAAAAAAATCACAAATTCTGAAAGTTGTTTTCATTTAAATATAGTTCACTAAGATCATAAAATAAGTTTTAAACATGTTTAATGTAAAACAATTTAAGTCAAGTAAAATAAAGGACTTTTAGTTATATTCTAACATACTGTGCCAAATCGACCTTGCATAAAATTCAAAGTAGCAGCATCGACTCGTGTTGCACTTTTAAATCTTTATTGCCGTTAAAATGTCGTCGACGGCAAGAAGTTGCTGGAATTGCTTAAAACTAGATGAATTTCCTTTTACTTCTGTTAATAATATCCACCGAAACGCTTGTGATGTTATTTTTACGAAAAAGCCAAATATATTCTGTCGTAATGTCAATAAAGAGTGTTTGGACTTCATTCAGACTGCTATTGATCCCACTCGGTATCTTGTGTATTCGTTATCTGACATTGATTGGAAAAATGACACTTGGCAGGGTTCAGCATCGTTAATGATCCTTTCAGAAGCTTCATTCAATGCGGATCATTCAGATGAAATCTCGAAGGTAGGTTAAATCGTTATTCGTCCGATGTATAATTTAGCAAATAGATTAATGATTACATTTGCAATGAAGGAGGAAGGGTTTTACTGCTTCTGAACAAAGATTGTGAACATTCAATTCATGAAAGTAATATTTTTGAAGTGATCAAATCTAGCGAAAATTTTTCTCAAAAGTTTGGGAATTGGACTTGGAGGAAACTCGATGGTAAACTCTGTTTATTTGGCTTAATGGAATCACCATGTTTCGTGGTCATCTGGGTTTGTTTTTTGCATAATTTCTTATCAAACTATATATATATATATATATATATATATATATGTTATAATCTGCTTTATAAAATAACGTTTATTTTTATTTAGGCCTCATCCGATTGGATCCATGCAGGCAATATTAAGTCGGCTTTAGGACTAATGGAAATTTCGTGCGATGGGGGAAAAATTCCAATGCCCCCAACCTCAGACATTCTTCTATCCCTAAAGCCAACCGACACAACTTATACTGAGGCACGATATTTCTGCTTATTATTTAATTTATATTAGTTCATTGTTTTCATTGCATTTTGATAAATTATTTATCCATTATTTTGCATACTATCTTGTTTTAATTAGCATGAATGAGTAATTTTAGTTCATATATTTTTACGAATGATCCGCTTCCTATATTCCCTAGTCGGTGCTATTTTTAAAGTTTTTTTTTGTATCTTTTATCCTGTTTAAATACTCTTTATTTTACGTTGCGTAAATTCTCGTTGCACTTTTGGTTTGATATGAACTCTACCGTTGTGAAATTTTATTATTTTTTATTGACTACTTTGTGTCATTTATTGAATATAAGTATCAAAGCTAAATGATCAATTCTAGTCAGCGTGTGGATATCAGAAACCGGGTTCCCGTCAGAAAGACTCCTTCTGAAAAAATTCATTTTGAACGAAATTCTATTTCTAAATTAATCCTGTTTTTTCGTTATTTGCTTGATGGCTTTGCTCAGACCCGAGATTTTTTAAAGGAACTAACCCATGTGCAATCTAAGGTAGAACTGGTGTAAGAACAAACAGATGAGAATAGACGAATCTATCGCCACGGATAAATCTCAAATCCAGTAAGTGCAAGTAATCCATCACTTGAACATTATCTGCACCATTCATGCTCTCAAAAGCTTTACTGGCTCATTTTTTTGCTTAGGAGAAATCTATATTCGAAAGCTTTGTCTGAATAAATGAATGTGGAAGAGCATAAAGGTCTCTTAAAGTGTGAAAGATCGTAAAAGGTGAGGCGACGGTCATATTTCTACACTTACCAAAATTCATTTGCTTGCTTCCCCATTCGTATATTCTGCGTTCCTTCCAATTCTGATAGTATTTTGCCATGTTCTATCACTGCATTTGTACAAGTCTTCGTGATTATTGAGTCTTGTCGTTTTCAATCACATTGCTCCAAGATTATTCTGTCTTCCAATTAAACATTTTGGAAGAATGTGTGTTTCATCTTTTGTTTATCTTTACCTTGTTTGAATTTCTATCGTTATTTTGAACCATCAACGACATTCCATAGCCTTGAGGTCACATCAATTCTAATGTACTTTAGTCCCCTTTAGTGATATTATTGACAGTATATACCCAAACCATAGCTATAAACAGGAAAAAAACCTTGGGTATTCTAGTGCTAAAGGCGTTGGAAAGGTAGTTGTCTTTAAATACTTTTCCTTGGTTTAATTTAGAAATCGTCGGTTTTCCTTGATTATCCTAGTGAATAAATATGGAAATAAAAGTTTTTCCTTGTGATATTTTAGACCCAGACATTTATCACTTCTTCAGCTACGCCTCTTGTTTCACCGAATTAACCCGAGAATCTTTTGCTTTACCTCGGCGCTAACAGAGATGCTTGCTGGTTAATGCAACTTAAATCTAAACATGGATCGTTAAATAAACTTAAAATGCAATTATGAAGATCATAAGTCGCTAAAATTTATATCAACTGGCAGACTTTATGATATCTATCATTAGGCCTTTAGTTGACTTCAGGCTTCACAGAGGGGGTCATTAGCCATTTAGCTGACTTCGGGCTTCACAGAGGGAATGAACTTCAAACTCACAAAAAGTGGAGAATGGGAACAGAAGAGTGATTCACAGATGTAAAAGAGGCAAAC